TTGACATATAACTTTAAGCGACCATACTTGCATTCATTTTCAAGCTGCACTGTTCCATATCAAAGTCTCTATTACTATTGAACAGCCTGAAAACATTGATGAGATTAGCTAATGATGCTAACCGTGATTTTTATATTTATTTTCACATCCTCAAGAGAAACACTGGCTTATAGGAAAATTAGTACTGATTTCCTGCAAAAACTCATAAAGACTACCTCTGTCATAATTTGCTCGTGCCTACATTTAGGCAGTTCTTAATCACTTATACACTTACTGGCATTTTGGGAATAATTTTATCAGATGCTACTAAAATTAATGCCATGAAAAGCCTACTGTACCCACAGTTTTCAGCCATATCCATGCCTCTATCAGTACTCCCAAGAATCCATGAAAATTAAAAAAAGCTAAGTTTATTGCCAGTTTGCCTAAATCTGCTATGTAAATATCCTACCTTCACTGAAAAATTTTCTGCGGTCAAAAATTGACATACATTATAAAATAAACTTGTCATCTCCATCACTAACAAATGCAAGTTTGCCATGCTAGACAATGTACTCTCTACAAAGAATTAAAAAAATATATTGGCTAGGCTTTAGCTCTCTTACTGTGCTCTAGGCTTTCCCACTAAAATTCTGTATCAACTTTTTACACTGTTCCACCCAGCTTTGCCATCAGACCCATTTGCTATTGGCTATTTGGATTATTCTCAATCATCCTCTTGAATAAGGGTGTGTTTGGCACTCCCTGCTAGTATTTTTCCTCTTTTGCCAGGATAAGCAAGAGATTTTTTTTCCAGAAAGTTTTAGATACCCGAATTTCCCCAAAAGGAATGAAATAGAAAATTACTGCTGCTAACAAAATACTGTCAATTACTTTTAGAAAGGACTTCACAAACATGTATTAGCTTCCTTCGTTTTAAATACATACTTGAGCATCTCCTCTATGTTATTTAATTATCTTGTTAAAAATTAAATAAGAGTTGGTTACCCAAATAGAAACTCATGAAGAGGGACTTCATTTTATATGGTTATACTTAGTAAAGTTGTCAGCTCCTTTTACTGCCAGTGGAATGGAACACTCACTTCTCAAACAAGATACATATAGAAAGAAGAGATAAATAGTGTCCTGGATGCAAAACTACTCTGTATTTTGTGTTGCTGGGGGGGGGGGGGGGGTGTGTGGTGGAAAAACAACCCAAACCAAAACACACACCACCAACAAAAACAAAACCACCAAAAAACAGAATTGATTTTTAATACAGGAAGAAATGTTGGTAAGCAAATACCATACAGCAGATCCTTGAAAACAGAGTTTAAAATTTGTATAAACTCTAATCCCATTTTATAGGCTTTGTTTTCCTGGCAGGTTGTTCCCTCACACTTCTGCTTCAAGCCTAATGAATGATGAAAACAGTAATGTCAAAGCATTACAGCTGGTATAAAGTACACCAGCTGTTCCAAATCAATAAAATTAATTCAAGTGTACTTATATACTTACAAAATGGTATTTATGAGAAATCAGTTTGTAGATTTAAAATCTAAAAAGTATGAGCTTACCTAGAGCTAAAATAACTAGAATCATAAGCTCTGAGGCAGTAGGAGACTTAAAAAATTGTGGTCAAGAGATAAAGTAAGCCATCTGAGTTAGAATAGTCTCTGAAAGAACGAGTTGTCCTTACAGTGTAAAACATCTTTTTAGAAAAGAGAGGAAAAAGCACTGGTACATCACAGCAGTAACTTTAAAAATGTGGTGTCTTAACATACTACCTTCATCACTTTAGGTCTTGTTTCCATTTAGTAGAATGAGAAGATGAGATGAGATTTTGTCTAAGCTTCCTCCAATATGAAGTAGTATCAGAAAACTGTTTTAGAAAATGACATCAGTCATCAATCACCTCTATTCATAAGCTGACACCACAATCCGGGTAACTTAAGTGAGTCAAACATGCCTCACACAGAATATGAACAATTAAATAATCTTTATGTATTAGCAACTAACAATGGAAGCTATTACTCAGAGAACGTCAGACTAGAGCAGAAACAGACACACATGAACTAAAAGGTTTCCCAGGTGACTGATTGTTGATTTTGGAGCTCGAGCAAACTGTGTTTGTGTAAGGAAAGAAAGCAATGCAACAATCAGCAAGAAAGGGTGAATTTAAGCAAAGACCCGGCTCCCTTCCCATGAAAGGAAGGTAAACACTGTTCAACCCTCTTCAAGGAAATGCTGGGGCAAAACCGTCACACACGTGTCACTAGGAACCAATAAGTCAGGAGAGAGATTATGCTCAATGTGGGGTGAGGGAGGAAAGAGGGTTCTGCTGGGGCAAAGAAGGTAGCAAAGCAAAACAATAACAAAAAAAAAAAACCCACAAAACACAAAACACCAAAACTAACCAACCACACCACACACCCCCCAAAGAAACTAAACCCACCACCACAAAGCCAAACAAAAACACCCACACGAGTGGGTAGAAACAAGAAGTTTCTAATCAAAGATCTTGTACAAAAAACTTAACAATACAATAACAACTAATAGCATTACACTACAAATTGCAGTACTAAGTAGTTAAACAGCATTGTTCAAATTTAGAAAGAAATGGTTCTTACTTACATATGAACTTAAAGGTGGGTATTTCAGAGGCTCCTCTTAGATGAAAAACATTGGTCTAAGTAGACTGAAAAAGTAGCTGAAACAACATCTACCTTTATTGTGTCTTCCACCTGATATGCTTTGAAAGCATGTCAGCTAACACTCCCTTTAGCGAGCCTCTTCAGGAAACAGCCACTAGGTTAAACCAAAGAATGTTTGGCTGATGGTCCTCACGGTTCAAGGGAAGTAAACCCAACAGAGCCAAAGTTGTTCAATCCTGGCAATATCAAGACTCTGCAGAGCTTTAACACAGAAGTAAAGGTTAAATTCTTGAGAAACTTAGTATCAAAACTGAAGTTTCTATTGACTATAGCTTAAGGATACAGAAATTGTGGGGGTTTTTTCTAAGACACTTTGTAAAGCCCAGTCTTCTCTGAACTAGCATTCAAGCTTTCTTTTTCTAACCTCCACCCTGAAAGAAACAGGCAACTTATTTTTGCGTTCATACCATATTTGTCTTACATATTTACCGTTGGTTCAGTTGTGAGACAAGCAAGAGCTGTAAATAGCTGCCATAGTCATATATTTTCTATTACTAAGATAAGTTTTCTTAAGTGTGTCCCAAGATAAGGCAACAGTTAAAACTCAGTTGTGAGATTATGATCTCAGATACTGTTCCCTCCCTAAAGTCCCTTCAAGGTTTTAGAGAACAATTTGTGACTACATTTTTTTGCAGGCTTGGGAATTGTGAGCAAATGGACTTGTCTCGTTTGTTTTTACCATGGATGAAGAAATAAATCATTGAAACAAAAGTGCAATTGATCCACAGAAACACAAGACATATCTTTGACTTCTCCTGGTGGAAACTAATGAGCAATTGCTACTTTTAATAGGCACAGTAAAGCTACAAATTTTTTTTTAAAGTAACAAAGGGGAAAAAATTCAACATGACAGTAGGCAGCTAATTGGCAGGCTGTGAGATTATTTCCAATGGCAAATATGATTGGCTTCTACTTCCCCTCTGCAAGTTGGGAACTGCCACAGATCACTTAAGGTAGGTTTCCACTCTTATGACAGACTTGCTTTCCAACTAGCCTTATTTATTATTATACTTCATGGATTAGTTCTGTAATCAAATTAATATATATGAGTAGTCCAAACATAGTCAAGTTCATCTACATATAAGCATACACAGAATACCATGACATCTAAAAGGTTATGTCACCCTAGAAGGCCTATTACAAAAGGAAAGAAGCAGCCTCAGACTACTTCTAATATGAACTTTAATATTTCATTATTTTGAAAGAAATGTGTACCCTTTTGTATCACATTTGCCTGAAAAATACAGATTATTGATATGAAGTCCAAGTATAACCAATGCGTAAAAACAGATCATGGAAACAAGTACTGTTCAAAAATCACACTGCCAAGAAATATTCTAATCTATTAAACCAACCAGCTTTTAATGTGCATCTTAAAGCTTACTGACTGGTTAGGAGGTTAGCGAAGTGAAACTGTCAAGGTTGCATTACAGGACAGTCACCATGTTGCTTACTAAAACGTCAGATTGAAACCTGTGGAAATGTCAGCTGTCTTCTCTTTTGTTTAGACTAATCTGACATTCAATAAGGTATGAAATGCTATTCTCTAAAACTCTAATGAATAACATATAATCCCCACTTTATGTAACTATCAGAAAATAGTAATACTTTAGAGCTGTTAAAGTGCTGTCTGAATCAAGTATGTTACACGCACAGTCAAGTTATTTGTACGGTAGATTTCATAACGCAAAACAAATGAAATCACTAAAGGCATGTATGTTTCAACATTGTTCCAACATTTGAATTCCATTTCCAAAGGAAATGCAAGGATGAAGTGTTCTGTTGTCAAGCGTCCCATTTTGTTCGACAACATTCCATAAGAGCCTGCAGGAAAAGAGGTGAAAGGTGAAGGGTTGTTTGAAAGAATGGGTTTGAAAGAATTTCAAGAGGAATTGACTCAAGCTGTAATGAATCATAGGAATCAGAAAATAAGAATGAGGTTTTACAGTTTTCAAAAATATCTTACATATCAGGAACACTAGCATGTGTAGAACAGCAAAAGAAAATCCAGTGTTTCATATTTATACAAGCATGTACAGCAAATTAACTCAAGCTACATGTGAACAAGTACAGCCTCGTTTATACAAGAGACTCATTTTCAGGGGAAAAAAAAATGTTGGCTAGTTACCAACATAACATTACACACAAATACATTTAGACCTTGAAATGTTGATCAAATGAGACTACAGCAAGTGTATTTCATTACCCATGTTGTTTAATCACCTTGAGTTTGTTGGGTTTTGGTTTGTGTTTTTAAATAACAGACATTTAAAAAAATAATGATTCACAAAAATACTGCTAATGGCTCACTTTTCTACCACCTCAATACTTCCTTCTTCTTTTGACCGTTTCTACTATCTCAGCAGTATCTCCAGTAGTTCTTTCGAGTAACTACAAGCTGCTCAGGCTCCTTTTGCAGAAGATCCATTGATAATATGCTCTGCCTCAGTTCGCTGATAGATTTCAAACCATTTACATCCGAAAGCTTCTGGTTCTGTGAAATGGTTGAAAAGGCTTTTTTAAGGCCCACATCAGTATTGGTGGTTTCTGTTTAGTTTTTTCTGGAAACAGCACTGCTTCAGTTTCAGGGGTAGGAAATCGTACTCTATACACTTCAGGGTAAGATTTCTGAAACTAGAAAAATACATCAATTTAAATGAAGAATTCACTCAAACTTGTAATATAAAAAATTATTAAAGCGCAATCTCCACCTCTGGATCAGGTAAATTATAATTTCTCTAATGGATTTTCTATACCTCTGTATAGAAAATGAAGTGAAATTTTCTAATACGGCTTTTTTTTTCACAGCAC